ATCTGCGTTGCGCACAGATGCGGTTTTGCAGCGGAAAACACAATAAACCTTCCACTCCAGTGTAATTGCAGAAAAAAAGGGGGCTCATCTTCCTACTATTTGCAAAGAGGCGACTAGGTGAGGTTTGTCTATTACAATACGGCATTTGGCTATTTAAATAAATGATTGAAACAGCAGTGCGGCAGCGCCGGTGCCGAATGAAAGCCCTTTTGTTTGCCGTTTCATAGACACAGCTGCCCTGTCCGCAAAAACCAAACATCAGCATCTGCCGTTTCCTTCAGCTGTAACCGAGGAAACGTTTCCCCCGTCCCTGCTGGGCAGCAACACCTGGCTCAGCCATTAGGCCAGGTAAGAGCCCCGGGGGGGGGGGGGGGGGGTGGGCACCTTGCGTTGTGCCCAATGCAGGTTTTGCCTTAATCCCCGGGCCAGAAGAGAATTCGGTATTGCCGCGCGTGGCAGATATTTAACGACGCCGGTTTCTGCGAGACGGTGTATGAAAGTGGAAGTGCGGGTTTGCCCCGCTCTGCGCGGGGTTCGGTTTGTACGATTTCGCGCTGTATATACGGCGGCTGACGTATTTACACCCAGAATTCGCTATATAATGCGCGTCGTATTCACTCTACACGCAGCTATTGCGGTCGGACGTGGGGCAACATTGTGTGTGTGTGTACTGTACGCGCGAGCCGGCAGGCAGACCGTCTTGTGCCGTTTCACTTTGTGTGCGCCCCTTTTTTCGGAACGCATCTACTACTACGCGTTAACGTACTCATGAAATACGATTATTATACAATTTTTAAAGCTCTTGGTGCAATTCGAGTTTTGACATCCGTGCATACACCTACAACTAAAGCTCATTGGGTGGCACCAGCAAGGGAAGTATTTGGTCAGGGTCCATGGAATCTCTCACGTGGATAGTGCGGCGCAGGTTCTGTCAGGTGCGCCGTGTAGCTCGGCGCCGTGCGCTGCTCGCGACGATGTCCGACGACGTTGCCGCATCCCGTAGAAGCTCCCCGGCACACGGAGCGAAGCGTCGGACATCGTGCCGATGACGACCCGCAAACGGGAGGGCCTGGCTGCGCAACTCGAGGATCTCTCCATTGCTTTGAATTATTGATGGCGATCATCCGATGCTTTTCTGCCCTTGCGCACGGTGGCAATGTGGTCAGGAGTTGAATGCCAATGTTGAGGTCTGCTAGCCAGGAGAGTGCTTCTCCTTAAGTAGTTTTCCTATTCCTCCTCCATTGAAGGAACGCAGACGACAACGGGTTACGATGCGGTCCGTAGCTCGCTTTGCATGGCCACAGTCGCACGACTGTGCCTTGTCTTTAATTTCCCATTCATGAAGGAGATGTGCGCAGCGGCCTGGTGTGTGACGATTTGACCATGTTGATATTCGTAACACAAAATAATCATGAGCGCTGTTGTGGAGAATATGAATCACAAAAGAAATGAGCAGATCATATATCTGTCCCTGTATATCTCCTTATATCTCGTGATGATGGTCAAACTACCATAATCCAGCCGAGTAGCGTGGTTGTTCAAGCACTCGCCTTGCAAACGGAAGGGCGTGAGTTTCAATCTCGGCAGGGGGTCAACACGTTTCTTCCTCTCTGCGGTCTCGATAACCGTGACAAGTCGGCAGTAGCTGTGCTATGGACAGACTGACCTCGTCATAGAAGCATTGAGTTGTAACCACGGGATTGTGGTTTTCAGTGGAGATGAGTGGCCACCCTTTGCTCATCTGCTTGGGGAGTTTTTGGTGGTCAGATTAAAGCCACAATAGGCCACGGGTAGAGAAATGCCTTTTCTTGCATAGCTATAGGAAATTCTGAAAAAAGAGCAGTTATTAATTCAACACGGTGAGAGTTTAAATTCCCTTAATTGATTTCTGTGAACCTGTTACAGTATTCCATCTGTTACAATTAACCTGTTTTTAATTAACCTCTGTTTAATTACGTTGTTTTTAATGAACACGGTATCCAACTGCTCATGGATGCACGGTCAAGTCGCGCATGCGAGTGGCTCTTCTTTAGACCACAGAACGGCAGGCCGGTCTCCAGTGACGTCTGACATCCACAGAGGCCGACAGGGCCGCGTCGGACAATAAACCAAACGAATCGGCCTTTGCTAGGATCGCTGGCGCAAAAGGCGAATGAGCAAGCCGGTCTCCGATGTGTCGTCGTCAAACCAGAAGGTGGACGTTCGCCTCGCTCCCCTGATTCTTTTTTTTTTACGTCAACAAAAATTGCAGTCATTTGGCTTGGCTCAATTGATTGCCTTGGACACTTTGCAGTTTTTATTTTTTGTTTTGGTCGTTGGTGATCGAGTTAGAGCGGTGTTTCTTAACCTTGGTTTGGCCCCGCAGACTACTCAGCCGATGCAAACATTTCCGTGGACCCACACAGACCCTAGCCCCCAACCTTGGTGACAAAACGCATTAAACGTATCTCTAAATAGCAGTAATACAAGATTATTCATATGACTGGGACAATTTTTCTTTTCAATGCAGTGATAAGGTTTCTTTTGAGTGGGGGGCATTTAGATCTTAGGGTAAGCGTGGTTTAATCAGTGTAGTTTACTTAACTTCATTTTTTATTAAATATCATGAGAAAAATATTAATGTCCGAAAAAAAGGTATAAACATTGGAATTATTGTCCAGATCAACCTGCATCACGGTCACGGCGGACCACCTGGAGGACCATTGCGGACCACCGGTGTAACCGGGACCACACACAGCAGGCCGTGGCTTTGGTCCCAACCCTGATCCCTGCTGTGGATATTTGGAGTTTGCTTGTCGCTCTCTCCCCGTGGTCGCATGGATTTTTTTCTCCGGGTCCTCCGATTTTTACCTCCATCTTTAGAAGCATGCATTGAGAGTATTTGGCCACTGCTATAAACTATCACACGTGATAAGCCACTTCGTTGCGTTATCGTTTTAGGCCAAGTCGCTATTGATAAAGAGCTTCATAGCTCAGTGGGCCTTACAAAAAATATATTTTTTTGAGAAGCACTGGATTAGACCATCCAGCTCACGACTTACGACACCTGCGGTAAGTCGCGGGTGGACCAATGGGGATTCCCAAACGCAGGATCTCAGGATGGTTCCGACATAAGTCTGACTCGCCTGGCCACCTTGTGCGATGCCATGCATATTCAATGGCATCATCTTCGTGGTTGGGGGTTTGTGTGCTTTCGGTAAATCTAGCAGCCTCGAAGCCACCACAGCTTTAAGAAGCCACTAAGAACTTCGCACTTTTAACTCGAGATTGAACACTCATTTCTTGAGAACTGCTTTTTGCGTTTAGTTTGTTGTCTTTCCCTCACACCTCCCGATGAGCACGGTTGGCTACGTATGGCGCAAAATAAGTTATATATACATACATGCAGTCTGCCGGAATGTGCTCACACACCCTAACCTTCGGAAGACGCCGCCAGCATTGCTGCACTCATTGACATGGGCAACAATTTTCATTCATGAATTCTCTCGTACCTTATTTTTATTTGCATCTAAAATTAAAAAAAATAGGAAAAGCTTGGTCCAATAGCCAGATTGCCTGACCCGTAATGAAATTATCGTGAATTTAAAATCCCTAGCCCCAGCCCATCATCTCTTTGGGGCTGTTAAAATAGCATACCACTCTGTGGTAAGTCAACAGTGGCCACCCGTTGGAGAGATTGGCCCCAAACACGGGAATGTGGAATTTCCACCGCTCGCTCAAGACCACCTGAAGTTAGCACTGCGCAATGCTTTGACCGTTTAAAAGTAAAACCCCTTATTGATTATTGACTACGGTGCGACATCAATTCACATTCATGGTCAACTGGCTTCATAATTAACTCTCATTCACTGTCATTGAAAAGCCACATTGGCGAGCCAGGCCCCACCCAGGAAGCAAAATTCCTTCTCTTGGCAGGGAATTGCCACTGCGCGTGCCTGTGCGCGATCGTCGTTCGCATTGTTTCGTGTCCCTTTTGCCAAATGGAGGCATACGGGGCGCGTGTGTTGCAAGTGCTGCGCCCAAGTGAATGCGTTTTCAAGTTAAATATTTAGACTTGTTGTGCCGACGATGCATTTTTACAGAAATGAATCGGGCTGTGCAGGTGTTGACTTCTGTTTTAAAAGCAAGGGTTTTGTTGCATTGCGCTTAATTGCATCTGTTGGGCAAACAAAAATATGAGCTTCACACAAACAGACCCGAAGATAAAGACCGAGATCCCCCATATAGCCTCAACGGACTATGGGGGCAAGTGCCGTTAGCGAGCATTTATAACGGCCAGCATGGCACACAAGGCAGTGGGTGGCCACAACCACGCCCAGCTCCCTTTGTCTCGATGTTTACACATCGCACCAGGCTTATTCATTTGAGGCTGAGTCGACCTTGGGGAGGCCCAGGACCGGTGGAGATGATCGTCACCAGTGTTGGTCGTGAGCAGGAATCGAACCCAGGTCGATGGGTACCGAGTGCGGTGTGCTTACCACTATACTACCACTTCCCATACGATGACACACGGACACGTGCACGTACACACGTGCACAGGTTGACACACAGACACACGCACACGCACACAGACACGTGCACACGCACACAGACACACGCTCGGACACAAAGACAGACGCACGTACACAGAGACAATCGTGCAGGAGACACGCTCAGATACCTCAATTAACTTTGATGTAGACTTGTTTGGGTGCTGTTAGTGAGCACATATTAAGGCCTACACAGGCTGTGGCAATAATGGCTTATTATAGCAGGACCACCATAAAAGATGCGCAACAACGTGGAAAATAGGAACCTGAACCTGGTCTGGGCCTCTCCTAGGCCAATTCAGCTAAAAAAATTCCAGTTGCTGTTTCGTTGTGGTGAAAGTAAATGCTTTTTTTGTTTTAACATCTCAAGGTGTGGTTGGATTTAGACGCTACTTAGACCCACAATGCATTGCATCTGACGCTCGCTAACCATGCGGTCCACGCTGCTGCCCGTGTGTTGTCGTTGCCCAGGTGCCCTGCCATCCCGCGCGCACCAGGATGCCCGACTCCCCCTCGGACGTGAAGGCCTCCTCCAGATCGACTCCTCCGATCCGCAGCGTTCCGCAAGCCGCCATGCCTCCCCCTCCCCCCGCCACGCAGAGCATCAACCGAGCCAGCTCCTTCACGCCCACGAGCAGTGAGCAGTCGCCCACACGGGCGCCCCGCCGCTCACCCACTCATCCACCCTGCTGTTCACCCACTCAACCACCTGGCTACTCACCCACTCGACCACCCCGCCGCTCACCCACTCAACCACCCCGCCGCTCACCCTCACCCACTCGTTCATCCCGCCTCACCTCCCTCTCGCCCCCCCCCACCCCACCTTCTCTCTCCTCGCAGTGCTGAACGGTGTGGGCCACTCTCCGCCGGGGATGAACGGCGCCCCTTCCCCGCCCAACGGCTTCGGCAACGGCCCCGCGTCCTCGTCCTCCTCCTCGCTGGCCAATCAGCAGCTGCCGCCGGCGTGCGGCGCCCGCCAGCTCAGCAAGCTCAAGCGCTTCCTCACGACGCTGCAGCAGTTCGGCTCCGACATCTCGCCCGAGATCGGCGAGCGCGTGCGGACGCTCGTGCTGGGCCTCGTGGTGAGTGGAAGAGCCGCGGGATAGGGGCGATGGCGGAGAGAGAGCGGCTGGGAGAGAGGCACGGGAGAGATGCAGAGACTGGGAAAGGCGGAGAGGCTCAGAGGCAGAAAGAGGGAGAGAGAAAGAAAGAGGGGCAGAGAGGCAGAAGGACATGGATACAGAAAAAGAGAGGCAGGGAGAGTCAAAATTCAGAGGTAGAGAGATGGAGGGAGAGGCAGAGAGAGAGGCAGAGAGCAGACTCATACTCAGACTGTATCAGCAAGTAAGGCCCCCATTGAGCTCAAGCAGCTCTTTGACAATGACGACCACAGCCCGAGATCGCCGGCAGTGGTTGCAGCTTCAGGATAGGTTGGGAATGTGCCAACTAACATGAAACCCACGTCAGAAGCACCTGCAAATCGAATAAACAATTAATAGGGCTTGAGATATAAATAACAAATACAATATCCCGTCATGGCCATATGTAAGTAAACCCTATGTACACCCTCAGGCATAATCGAGCTGAGCTGTAGCATTGGCGGAGGTAATGCTGCACCGTGGCCTTCAAACACACCATGTCTAGAGAAGGTGCATGAGGTCGGGGGTTCGATCCTGACCCTGATGCCTGCTGCATATTTGGAGTTTGCATGTTCTTGTCCTGGTCGTGTGGATTATTCTCCGGGTCCTCCGGTTTTTCCATCAACATTTAGATAGATAGATAGATCGTTTATTGTCATTGTCACCAGTACAACGAAATTTAAAATGCTCACCAGTCAGGGCATCATTCATAAATTTAAATTAAATAAAACTATAAAAATAAAAATAAAATTAAATGAAAGATAATCAATTTATACTATATATAAAAAACAGCCCAAGTATACCCACATACCCACATAAGGTTACATTTTGTCATTGCACATCTCTATTTCACAGTCAATTGTAAACACTATTATTTAATAATTAATTAGCATTATTGAGTGTGGTGATCGCTGTAGGGTAAAAGCTCGCGTTTCGACGATTTGGTTGCTATAAATATCCACGTAAAAAGCCACTTCATTGAGATATCACTTGTGGCCAGGTCGCTTCTGATAAAGAGCCATAGAGCTCAGTGGGCCTTGCCTGGTAAAAAAAAATGGTCATCAGTTAATCAGAGGTCCTATATAATTTTGGATTTCTTAATGGAGGGAGAGTGTCCATGAAACACTGAGCTGATTTGGATTAAACAAAGTTGTGGATGAAGATCGCCCAGTGTATATCTCCCGGAGAGGTCATACTAGCTTTAGAGTAAAGTTCTATAGAGCGATGAGCTCTGTCAGGAGCATCTTATGATAAAGAGGCTTTAGTTTATTAAGGAGAGTGTTTGGGCACCACAGCAGCTAGATGTTAACTCCCTTACCTGGTATACAGGAGGTTGTGGGTTCGATCCCAACACTGACGCCTGTATATTTGGGGTTTGCATGTTGTCGTCCTGGTCATGTGGATTATTCTCCGGGTCCTCCGGTTTTTCCATCAACATTTGGAAATTTGCGTTTAGAGTATTTGGCTGCTATAATTTCCACACGATAAGCCACTTCGTTGAGCAATCACTTTGTGGCCAGGTGACTTCTGAAATAGCTCAGTGGGCCTTACCTGGTAAAATAAAAAACGTTTTTAGGTTAATTTAACACGTAGGCTTTCGTGACCAATACCATCCATGATACAGGTTTTTTGGGTTAGTTCGCATAAATATCTAAATGTGTCGTTAAACCCGCCACCACCCGACACAGCCAATCAGTAAGGGTTGTCACGTAAACAGAACGTGCCAATTCGTCACTAGTACAGCACACCGGTGTGTTGGAGAGCCAAGCCACAACATTTACAAACTGAGTACGAAGTTTCACCAGTAATTACAACTAGCTTCATCAGGCGACAGCCAGATTTGTAGAGTAGTCCACCTGTTTCGTTCCTTAAATATTATGGACGATTTTGGTCGCGAAAGCCTTCGTGTATTAAACATTTCCTTTTTTTCTTTACGTATAGTCATTGTGTATGTGGAAAGTGAGCACTGAGTCGATAATGAGGCCGAGGAATTTGTCGCGGGGACGGAGAGAGAGAGAGAGTCTGGTCTGTCCGATTTCTAGAGATCCGATCACAGATCGGTCGAACTCTCTTGTTTAAACATCGTATCAGAAACTGATCCGGTTCGTCTTTTGTCGAGAAACTATCACAGGGCCAGTCTGTCACTTCGATGTTTAAAGAGCGGCGAACTTACATTTCGATTTAAAGCTTTCGTGACTGCAGGGATTCATATTCTTGGTTCTTTCGGTAAAGCAGCTGCTTGCGTTGTGGCCGAAACGTCGTGAGAATTGTATAATGTTTTATTGTTATTATTTTATTATTTCCCTTCTACGTGACTTAACCGAAAGAACCAAGAATATAGCAACGAACTTGTATGCACAACTAAACAGAGTAAAAAACAATGGTGCTAGGTGACAGAGCCTTGTCTGAATGTGTCTGACTGGTGCTGGGTGAACCGTGTTGGTCCTGAGCCAGCTCCAGAAGTGGCGCGTTTCCGAGTGAAAACACCTCCCAGCCAGCCAAGACGTTACACCCTTGAGAACGCAAACATAGCAGCAGTCATGCAGTGGGCACTGAGGTGTTGTGCTTTAGTAGGGCAGGTGCTTGATGGGCTACGGAAACCACTTTGTAAGGGAAGAGAGATCAGTGTAAAGAAAATGGACTTGATGCGAGAGTGCTGCCTGTTTCGGTGTGTGCTGATCAGAGAGCTGGGCCCCTAACTAAGCAGCTCATAAAAAGAGGTTGTTGAAAGTTAAGCCCAGATACCTGGGAAGTTCGTGGCAGCTATGCAATCATCTGTTAAAAGAACAGTTGAGCGTCGTAGATATGCTTCGGCAAAAATGGTTCCGCTGGGGTGGCGGACATCTTTAAACTCTGTGTATATTTGATATCCATTTTCCAGGTTATGGCCTCTCTCTCTATCTCTCTCTCTCTCTATCTGTCTTCAGTCTTGCTGTTACGTACGTAGCCAACCACACGAATCGGAGGTTGCGGGGGAAGGACCACAAACTAAACACAAAAAGGCCGTTCTAAAGAAATGAGTTCACCACGCATTTGTGGCGAGCTGGCCGAGCCGATCCGTAGAAGTAGGATAATGGGTGGTCAGCTGGGCCCAGTGGATGTGAGGAGTTGTCGAGGAGAGGACTTCTACTCTCACAGGGATCCGGTGCGGTAGTGGTGAAGACGATCGATATCCGAAGATCGTGAGGTCAAATCCCATTTGAGGGGGCCCCTGCCTTGGAAATGTGGAATTTCCACGATTGGCTCAGTTCCGTCAATGAAGTTGAGTGCCGCCACAAATGCTTCTTGGTGCAGGGAGATGCTGAGACTTGACTGTGATATCTCCTCTTGGCAATAGCTGTGCATGGTACATGCATCACATCATGTGCCTAAGAATACATTGTTTTATAATATATGGTAATCATACGCAAATCACATGCTAATGTGCCTGTAGATCCATCGTTTGCCTAACGTAGATCGCTATATATGTTTCAATGCGTGGATGCATTGAAATCTACGTCTAGAAATTAACAGCTGACACTCCAAAGCAGCGCTCGGTCCATCGGTAGAAGCGTAACGAGTGAACGCCACTTGTTTGCGTGGCTACAAACCCCGGGTCTCCCTTCCAATGCGCGCGTCGCAAATCTCGCCTGACCTTCGGTCGCTTAGAGAAGCGTCCGTGACCGAACCCGGTGGTCGATTGCGGCCGAGCGGCACAGCCACCGCCGGGTTGGCCGCGCGGGAGACGCCGCCGCTGGACCGTGACGTAACCGGGCCCTTTTGGCCGTGTCCGGGTTATTTGCGTCCGCAGTGTCCCGTTGCAAGCCGGCCGCCGCGTGCGTGCGCGAGCGCGGGCTCACGTGCCGTCCCATCTGCCTCCCGCTCCGAGGATGTGAAATCGTATATCTGTCCCTCCCTCCCTCGCCTGGCCCCCTCCCCTCCCATCCCTCCCCTCCCTCCCCCACCCTCCCACCGCAGCCACTCGCGGCGCCCACGCCGCCGATTCTTATTTCTTCGCCGCCTAATCGGCGATGCCAAAACAGTGGCGGCGTCGCGAGCCCCTCGCACGCCCAACATCGAAAGGACGAGGAGCAAGGCGTGCAAAAGAATGTCATAAAGCGGAGAGCGAAACCCCCAGACGGGATAGTGACCAACTGCGACAGAACGCGGGGGCAGCGGCGAGCAGCGGTAGACGGCGCCCTGCGAGACTGATGGCGCGTGCTGCCGTGGTGCGCGAGAACGCGTGCCGGACGCGCGCCCCGTGCGGACGCCATGTGCTCGAGCATCGGTGCGGTGTCACTGGGGGGCGAATGAAGTGGCGTTAGCGCCTATTAATACCGGCGGCTTGTTCGCACGCCTCGACAGGTCCTTTGGGTTAAGGCCAAGTAAACCTAGAGGAGGCCCAGAGACAGGTTTGTGGTACCCGCATGCATCGAACCCAAATGGCTGGGATAATGGGCCAGGGCGTGAAGTAGGTTGGTCCACAATCTTGATTTGAAGTTTTCGTGACTGCAGGAATCCATACTGTTTGGTTCTTTCGGTAAAGTCACGTAGGTATAAAATAAAATAAATCACGACGTTTCTGGCGCAACACAAGCGTCCGTCATGAGGTGGGAAAAAATGCTGAGGCAGAAGGTTTGCACCAAATTAGCGGTTCCAATTGGTGCTCTAAATTTCGAATGTCAACGTAAGAAGTGATGTGTATTAGTCATATACGTTGTATATTATGGGGTTAATGTGATATAACGTGATATATGCAGTCATAATATAACAACAAAAAATTATTGCTGGGGAGGAATTTGTGACCATGAATTGTGACAATTTGCGGAACCGCCAAGGGCGTGAATAGTGATTGCCCCAGCGTAAATCACTTCACATATAGTCTTAACAGACTGTTGGGGCAACTGCTGTTAGCGAGCACCTATGAAGGCCGGCACGGCATACAAGGGGGTGGCCGGCCAGCACCACGCTCGGTCGCCTTTGTTTCCCGAGTGGCAATGTTTACACATCACACCAGTTTGACTAATTTTAGGCTGAGTGGAACAAGGGGATGCCCAGGGCTGGTTCAGATAATCGTCACTGCTGTTGGCCGTGAGCGTGACTCGAACTCGGGTCGCCGGGTTCGTCGCGCAATGCGCTAAACGCTGACGCTACCGCTCCCCGCATCGCTTACACACGCGCACACAACAATAACAACCACTATTCGCCACTAAGTGGCGGTGATGTCACCACGTCGCTTGTGCCATGCTAGGTGCACGCACATTCGCACGTGCACGATCACACACAAAGACATGCATACATGCACGCACACACACACACGCGCGCTAATACAGCACCGTGCTCACATGTGCGATACAAAAACCAACATCTCCCGTCATAGCCAAATAGGATCATGTTGACCGCACCACCACACCAGGTATTCATTTTAAGCCGAGTCAAGCCGGGGGGCGGTCGTGCTAAATTTGGCTATCACTTGCCACTGATGAGCGTGATTCGCCAGGATCAGAGTGCAGCGGCGCTAAAATTAGTGCGTACATGAGCACGCGTTGTGTAACTTGGCGGAATACACTCGCTGTTACTTCTGTGTCTGGTCAAAGTCAACGTGTGCGAGCGCTGAATTGAGCGTCGCTCGTTCGGCGGAGGTGGAGAACGAACAGCAGAACGACACAAACTCTCCCTGCGGAAGCCCTCTCGTGGCTAGCAGACCGACATTGGCATTTAGCGCCTGGCCACATTGACATCGTGCGCAAGAGTAGAATAGAATGGGATGATAGTCATCAATAATTCAAAGCAATGGAGAGATCCTACAACAGATCTCGACGTTGGCACGGAGCTGCTGAAAGCATCCGATGCTGCCCATGATGCGCGAGCGGAGAGCACAACCGGGCATCGGGGCAGTGCGCTCTTCCTTCTCGGTCGCAGTGATTGGTGTAAATTCCGCATTGCCACGGCGGGAGCCGGTCCAAAGATGCTGGACGATCACGATTTAACCTCCAACAAAACGGTTCTTGTTTTGCTAACCCCGGGAGGGAGGAGTTGGGAAAAGCGACACTGGGATTTTGAACTCGATCTGAACTCGCCGGGCATGCGATGGCCCCCCTCCTCCTGCCCCTCTCGGCGCATCACCCCACTCGGCGGTGGCTGTGACGCCGCCGATTTGTGGAGCTCCCGATCCCGGCGGAGCGTGAATTTTTTCCAGCAGGCGGCAGTACAGCAAGCCGGTTCGGGAAGCCGTGTGCCAGCTGTGAGCTTTTGAGTGGGGTTTTTCTTCAGGGAAGAAAATAAATTGCCCTCGTGTGATAACCAGTTGGAACCAGCCAAACGTACTGAGGCAGGACCCTCTTGAAAATTGAGATTCGGTCGAAGCTTTCCTCTCTAGAGGACATTAATATTATTTATTATTATACGTTGTATGTTGAACTTATTTCACACCGTACGTAGCCAACCGTACGAATCGGAGGTGCCAACCGTGCTAACCTGCGTGCGTGTGCCTCTCTGTGCGTGTGTTGCATTTTCAGAATTCGACTCTGTCTATTGAAGAGTTCCATGCCAAACTTCAGGAGGCGACCAACTTCCCTCTGCGCCCGTTCGTGATTCCCTTTTTAAAGGTACTCGTCTCTCCCACACACCACGAAAACACAAGTAGATTTCTGTTTTTTTGTTATCTGTATAACAGTCCCCCCCCCCCCCACCTGGGCAGGCTTTCATGCGTAAACGAGACGAAATGACAACGACGATGGCCATCAATTTTGCCGCCTGCTCAGCGGTTTTTTCCCAGCACCTCGCGGTGATCACAGCGGCAACACTCCGATTCACCTCGGCCAGGGGTCGAGCGGCCCGTGGCTCGTATTCACATCGCATCGCCGCTCTTGCAATATTGAGTTTGTTTTTGTTATGCCGAATTCGTACGAAAAAAATCCCCTTGTTATTTTGGTTGCTGACCCCTGACCCGAACCAATTCGGCCGGTGGCGTTACGGGCGAGCGCTTTACACCTCCAGCCGCGAGCAGTGCAGTCGCTGCTCCCTGCTGCTGCTGCTGCTGAACCGCCGTTGTGACGGCACTTCTAACTCCACTGCCTGTTACCAAGTTGCCCGGTCTCGACGGAGCTCAGAAGCTAAGCAGGAATTTGAGCCTGGGCAGTGCTTGGATGGGTGACCACCATCACGAATAAAATGGCTTGAAATCGACGCGACGATGGGAGGAGGAAGTTTCAAAGTGCAGCAGTGTCAGGGCAGAAGCAGAGAGAGACGTGTTTTGGCCTGCAGCATGGTGACTGGGTGAGTGAGTGGGTGGGTGAGTGGGTGAGTGAGTCAGTGGTGAGTGAGTGAGTCGGTGAGTGAGTGAGTGAGTGAGTGGGTGAGTGGGTGAGTGGGTGGGTGAGTGGGTGGGTGAGTGGGTGGGTGAGTGGGTGGGTGAGTGAGTGGGTGAGTGGGTGGGTGAGTGAGTGGGTGAGTGAGTGGGTGAGTCAGTGGTGAGTGAATGAGTCAGTGAGTGAGTTTGTTGTTGTGACACAGGGGAGCGGTAGTGTAGTGGTTAGCACGCTGCGCTACAAACCCGGAGAGCCAAGTTCGATTCTTGCTCACGGCCAATACCACTGACGATTATCTGAGCTGGTCCTGGGCCTCCCCTAGGTCGACTCAGCCTTAAATGAGTACCCAGTGCGGTGTGAAAAACATTAGCGCCGGGGAGATTAACGCCGGTCATGGTTCTGGCCACCCACCCCCTCATGTGCCGTGCCGGCCTTCTTAGGTGCTCTCTAACAGCACTTGCCCCAACAGTCTGTTAAGGCTATACAGGTGGGCTTTGTCTTTGTTGCGACCTGCAATGTGGTGGATGAAACGAGTCCTTGAAAAGGGTGGAGGAATCAAAGAGTGACGTTCATGGCAACACTAACCAAGAAGGCAACTGTTTGAAGGAGTACTGCGACTCATGAAGGATTTCTTTGTGAGAATGGGGGACTGTGTATTTGTAAAGGGCATGACCTTCAGCCATGCAGGGTTTTACACTCTGCTCTACGACCCTCTTTATGGCTAGTATTTCCGATGGCTCCAGACTGGACAGAGTTTGCTGTGCTTGGCATTGATTGTAGATTGATGCTAACCCCCCAGTATCTTCTTAAATGACAGTAATTTGACCGCGGACCTCGGTATTGAGGCATTCCCTCGCCTGTTTGTCCTTCATCTCCCAGGCCAATGACTTAACACTGCGCACAGCAGCAGGGAGCAGTGCAGCGACGAACACTGTTGTACCGTACCCGTCGCTCCCCATGTTTTTCAGTTTCAGTTTCATTTATTTGGTATAGCCCTGTGAGCCATTCGGCTCTTGAATCGGGTGCAACCGCAAGAAACAAAAAACAAAAACATGAACAAGAAAACATCTTAAAGTGACTATGCGCAAACAGAAAAATCGAGGAAAAAACTGAAAAGTCTTTCAGAAAAAAAGCACCTGTACACCAACGCTGTGCAAAAATCCCAGTGGGATGCAAGTCAAACAACAACAACAAGACAACTTAGATTAAAGCCATCATTCTAACTCCGTACTACAACAAACAAACATGGCCAAACCAAAAAACTTTTCGAAATCACCAAAATAAGCCATAAAAACAATGTAACAGTGATCATAGGAACTGTGACCGAAATTTCACAATAAACGACATAAACAACATGTACCACCAAAACCCTGTAGCCATATCTGGCTGCATGAGTCACTCCACAACAACAGGTCTACACTGCCCTGCTTTACCAACCCCGCGCAGTCGCGACGTGCAGAGGAAGTGTGCTCAAACAGCACCTACGAACCCGCATGGTGCGGGGAGGCCCTCATCCAGCAGTAAATTGACTGGACTTGCGCATGCGTGGCGCGTGCACGCGTGCTTACCGGCTGGATGATTGCTGGCAAGGAGAAACACACATCATGTGGAAATGTGCGCCGTTGCGGCAACGGATCCGGGTGGCCGGCTGGCGTCGTAGTCCGAATGCTCGACTTGCAGTCGGCAGCGTCGCAAGCTCAAGGCCCCGCGTGGAAGTCGACTCGGCACAATCAAAGGTTTTTCTCTCTGACGAGGTCAATAGCATCGGTGCCACTTGGCGAGAAGCCATCCCGTGCTCGTTCTACTGACCCCCCCTCGCCCATAGGAACGTGGAGTTTCATTGTCTCCAGCTCACGGCTGGCAACGTAAACGAGCGGCCGTCGTCACCCTGTGCTCGCGGCGAGACGGGCACACTCGATTCCCCCAGCGGGTTGGGACTGGGAAGCGACCGGCCTCGCGGCCGCGGAGGGACGCGGATGGCCGAGTGGAACGCGACGGCCACGCGCTGCCGCTGTGTAGGCCCCCCCCCCCCATGTGCGATCCGATCAGATGCGTCTCTGCGTCTCTGCGTGCGTGCCCAGGCCAACTTGCCGCTGCTGCAGCGGGAGCTCCTGCACTGCGCACGGCTCGCCAAGCAGACGCCGGCTCAGTACCTGGCCCAGAACGAGCAGCTGCTGCTGGACGCCAACGCTACCTCTCCCGTCGACTCCTCCGACCTCATGCTCGAGGTGGCAGAGAACGGCAAGCGGCGGACACCGGACAGGTGCACGCCCCCACCCCGCACCGCCACATGACAGGGGGTGAAGGTAAAGGCGCAGCCCTGCGATTTGCTCGCTCTCGCCGCTGCTGCTGCTGGAAAGAACTCCACTAGAGGGAGCTCTAGAGAGCCCCCCCCCCCCCCCCCCCACTGCCACAGCTGGTATTTGGCCTGCTTTTCCACAATGGCCAGACCTCTTGCAAGATGTGGGATTACCTACACTTTGCCTTACTAACCGTGGTGGAATCCATTTATATCGCTGGGTGGACAGGCTGTGGGCGAGTGAGGGGTATTTAATAACCATTCACCATTGCTTCAACTGCCGCACCGGGAGATTTGGATCACAATTTCGATGACAGAAAGGGTGTCGCGCTGGCCCATGCCACAACTACCTGCAAATAGAATGAATAGCGTTAAGTGGCAGAGGTAATGCTGCAGCGTGGACTTAAAACGCACCGTGTCTAGAGAAGGTGAATATGGACTCTGGAGATTGGTTGTGGGGACATTCCCAGGTGTGTGGGTGCTGTGCAAGAGTTCTTGACATTGGGCTCCAAGGTGGCAAGATGTTAACTACCTCGCCTGGTATACAGGAGGTCGTGGGTTTGATCCCGACCGTGATGACTGTTGTATACTTAGAGTTTGCATGTTTCTCCGCTTGGTCACGTGGATTTTTTTTCAGGTCCTTCAGTTTTTTCCTCTACATTTAGAATCAACATGTGTTTAGAGTATTTGGCTGTTATACATTTCCACGTGATAAGCCACTTCATTGGGCCATCACTTGTGGCCAGGCCGATTCTGACAAAGAGTTACATAGCTTGGTGGGTCCTTCATTAAAATATAAAATAGTTTAGTTTAGATTTGCATCTGTGGAGAGCTTAAATGCTGCCGCCACATCTCAAAAGCACCTTCCATAAAAAAGTCGTAATTTTTCACTTGAGTGGGTGGGGGGTGAAGGAGACGGTCCCTCTGCTGTTGCAACTGAGTCACACGGCAGGCCCCCGGGTGTATTCTGATTACGCCATCACCCGGAGCTCTCGCAGCGGGCATTGTACCATCTTGCATTGGAGGACTGCCCTGGTAAAAACAGCACCGCTTCTGACATCCCTTAAAAAGACGAAAAGTTCTCTGTTGTCACAGTTCGGCAACCGTTATTATTTCCACCGCGGCGAGTGCGGTTGTCGACGAGCGTTCTTGACACCCGCGACCCCTCGTCCGCCCGCCCGCCCGCTCGTACCCGCAGAACCAAAGAGAACGGCTACGACCGGGAAGGACTCCACTGCGAGCCCCCCAGCAAACGCCTCTGCTCCCTGAGCCCCCCGACGCCGCGCGGCTTCAGCCCCAGCAACGGCCTGCCCCACCACCCGACCCCTCCGCCCCCTCTCCCCGGCGGCGCGGCGCCCTCCTCCCACGGCCACGGCCACGGCCACGGCCCCCCGGGGCCCCCGGCCCCCGGCCCCCAGCCTCAGCCCCCGCCACCGCCGCCGCCCCCTCCGCCTCCTTCCCAGGCTCCGTCGGGCCCCGTGTCGGTGCCGCCGGCGGGCGCGTTCCGCGTGGACGATAGCGGCCCCGCGGGCCTGCCCATGACCGCGGCCGCCGCCGCGGCCGCCGCCGCGGCCGCCGCTGCGGCGGCCCACCACACGCTGCCGGCGCACCACGCGTACCGGGAGGTGTACCGCGCGGCGGGCGGTGGTGGCGGAGGCGGTGGCGGCGGCGGTGGCGGTGGTGGTGGCGGCAACGCGGATGTACGGGAGACGAGGGAAAGGCATCGATCCATCGGTGAGGGTTGCGGCCTGCGTGAAAGATTTCTGTGTTGTCGCGGAGTCGAGGGGATAAGGATAACACTGTCCTGAAAAAGAAAATGTATTTCTCTGTAATTAATACGTGACATTGCAAGCAATGGCCCTTCTTCATAGGATAGAGTATCTAGGCCTCATTAATGAGGTCAATCAATGATCGTCACTCAACAGACGCTGGAAAATTAAACCAAGGGCCATTTTCAGAAAGTTTGTTGTGTGGGTATAAATATATATTTATTTTTAATTCCTTTTAGGGCAATGTTAGTGACGAATGGGTTCAGTTTTTTTGTCATGAACTCTTGACCTTGACCTTTCAGGACTGCACGGAGGACGAGTCGAGGAGGTCATTGATCACAGGCTGACCGATCGAGAGTGGGCAGAAGAGTGGAAGCATTTGGATCATGTGAGTAGTGAAATGCACCTGCATATTTGGAGTGTACTTGTCCTTCTCCCTGTGGTTGTGTTGATTTTTATCTGAGGCCTCCAGATTTTGCCTCCACGTTTAGAAACATGCCTTTAGAGTATTTGGCTGCAATACATTTCCACATGATAAAGCCTCTAAGTTGAGCTATCATTTGTGGTCAGGTCGCTTATGAAAAAGAGCTATACAGCTCAGTGAGCCTTATCTGGTAAAATAAAAATAGTTTAGTTTATAGATAAAAATGATGTCCTCCCATTGCATAACTAAGGTATTTTAACTCGACATTACCAAAGCACACTGCTGTAATGTGCACGTTAAATACCTCTTACAATTACATGTTTGCAGTAGTCGCCACTAAACGAACGCAAGCTTCGATACCAAGATCAGACCGCACATGCATGTGGCAATAATTATGATGAATAGACATGAGCCCAGCCATGATTTTAGTAGAAATCATGGCTGGTCATGCACTGACTACACCCAACTCTATCATAGTCTAAAAAACACACATTATCTATGTACGTATGTTGAACGTCTTTCGCACCATACGTAGCCAACCGTGCAAGTGCTAATTTTATCGTTACACAAATCTTACCCCAATTGTAAATAAAATGCGTTAGTTATGCTGGTTCAGTGCACTCGTGTGGTGAATTTCATGGTCATGGGCATCATCTCTCATCGCTGGAAACACTTTGGTTTCCCTATTCACCATTAAGTATGCTCTGACCGCAATGAGCAACGGCCTTCTCTTATTCGTCAGAACCGTTCCCTGCCACAATTCCTGGTACGGTACATTTATGATTTGTGAAAACCAATTTTTTTGTCGTTGCAATCTCACTGTCATCACACTTCGGCTATTTTTAAATATTCCCCACGGTCAACTTAATAGCTTTTTTGTTTCATTTTATAATTCAACGTGGGGGTCACCTTGAGTTCAAGTTATTTTATGCCACAAAGTCAGCACGAGATATGACTTGCACTGGATTGGCTTTGAGATCATTTGTTAAGTGCGACCAATCCCACTGCATCTTTGCATCAATACGCAATAAAGATTTGATTTATAACTGTTATGAATTGTGTTTTACTGTCACCCGACCGCGCACAAACATATACCCACTCAAATTCGCATGCATGCTCACACCTGCTGTTCCACACACGCTCACATGCACACACACCCATACACACACTATACACATACCCCAAATGCAAACTCACGCATACATACACTCACACATACACTCACACTCACTTGCACACGCCCACATACTTACACATGCACACGCGCACGCACGCACGCACAATCGCATGCACACAAACACATCCACACATGCACATGCTCACACATTCATGTGTACACACACACTTGCACGCACGCACGCACATGCACACACGTAGCTGCTGAACTGCATCATGGACATGGTGGAGAAGACGCGGCGCTCCCTCACCGTCCTGCGGCGTTGCCAGGAGTCGGACCGCGAGGAGCTCAACTACTGGATGCGGCGCTACAACGACGCCGAGGACCTGCGCAAAGGTGCGCCCCTCTAAGCCGGGCGTGCCCTGCCCGCGACCCTGCCGCAGCACGGCCCCCGCCCAGAGGGTGCAGGGCCGTCGCTCGACCACGAGCCCCCTGTCTGCCGCCAGAGGCCGTCGCAGGCGGCGCTCTCGATGGCCTCCTGTCACCCCTCGCTTCCTTCGGCTCTCTGCCCAATTACACGACTGTTGAGGGCCCCCCTCGACCCCCTCCCCCACCCCCCCCCGCCCCCCCCCCCACTGCAAATTCTCCACTTGCGATAGTAAACACACACGTCGTGTTCATGGTCTCGTGCATTGCTGCCGACCTCTGGCCCTTTTTCGTCAAGCACACTGCTGGGTGAAGACCTCCCCCACGCCGCGCCAGTTATGTCGGTAGGGTTGTTTGACCGTACTTCACCCTCGTCATAGCAGGTTGGCAAAGGCAGGGGCGGGGATCGGTTCAGATATAATAAACTAAAAAGTATTTGTTTTTTACCAGGAAAGGCCCACTGAGCTATGTAGCTCTTTTTCAGAAGCGACCTGGCCACAAATGATAACCTCAACACAGTGGCTTAGCACGTGGACGTTGATTGCAACCAAATGCTCCAAACGCATGTTCATACAGTTGGAGGGAAAAACTGGAGGACCCGCAGAAAAATCCACGCAACCACGGGGAGAGAGACATGCACACTCCAAATATAGAACAGGCGTCAGGGTCGGGATCGAACCCACGTCTTCGTGTATACCTGGCGAGGTTGTTAACATCTCGCCACCGTGGCGTGCTCGCGACCGATGCTCGCCGTGGCCTCGTATAGATGTTATCCGTATATATCCACGTGGGATCCATATGCTGCATGTGCCCATGTAATGGCTTGCCATGTTGCGGCGCTGTAGAAGTTGTCGCTTATTATTCATATTGTGGTGGAAGGAGCTCTGCGGAGCGTTCACAGCAACAGCAGAGGGCTTCCAAGTGCAGCTGAATGAGAGAGCAGCCATCCTATCAACTGGAGCTCCTTCTCAATCACTTCCCATTCACCAGCCTCAATTTGTACCCAACCCTGGCCAATCAGAAGGGATTTGGTCCACATGGAAAGTGATGGAATCACTTCCTATCCGTAGGTCAACGATAGTCACAAGGTCTGCGCTCAACCTTGGCACTAAATGACAAACCACCTTGCCAGCCATCTTAGAGTACACACGAGATGGCATGTAGGGAACTGTGCCGCGCTGCTGCATGTGCAGGGAAAGCATCCTTCTCAGGGCAAGCGTAGCCTGGTGTTCGGGGGCACTCAGAGACATTCCTCTGCTTGTTTTTGTTTGTGCCCCAGAATCCCAGAGGGAGTTCCCACACCGGCCCATCTCAGGCTACATGCCCGACGAGATCTGGAGGAAAGCAGGTGAGTGCACGGTCCCCCCTTATTCTAACGAGTGCACTCGCCTTAACTAACACCGCCCCACCGCTAGCCAATATCTCCCCTTCGCTCCCAATTTATTATAATTAAGAGGCCAACCTCCCCTCCACGACTTGCATCTGAATTCGTTCAACTTCCCGTTCGTTCCCGCCTGCGCCAAGCATCGGAACAGCTCCGCTGGTGATTCCAAATTAACCAAGAGCAGCATAGCCCCCGACTGATCGACCGATGCCCATTTACGTGCCGGTGCTGTGTTACCTTGTACAGCACGGGGACGGCTGCCATCAGGGCGATCCCTTCGGCCATAAAAGAAAACTACAGCTGGGCATTGATTGGAATTATTGAGTTAAGGGTCTTTGAGATTCTGGGGCAGTTAAGTGCCAAACAAATGGAAATTCGTCATCCCACCTGGGTTCGAATCCTGGTCACGTGGAGCAGTTACGCGCACAGCACCCGCGCGTACGCTGCATCACGACGTGGGCAATGAGCGAGCGCCACGCGCGTCCCCCCCCACCCCATCCCACTGTCCACGCAGAGGACGCGGTGAACGAGGTGAAGCGCCAGGCCGTGGCGGAGCTGCAGAAGGCCGTGGCGGAGGCGGAGCGCAAGGCACACGAGCTGATCACGAGCGAGCGCGGCAAGATGGAGCGCGCGCTGCTCGACGCGAAGCGGCAGGCGGCCGAGGACGCGGCGACGCTAATCAACTCGCAGGAGGACTCGAGCGAGGTGGGTGGTGGCGGTGGTGGTGGCGGGGACCCCGGCGCCCCCCCCTCTCTCCTGAGACCCTCTTGGAGGGTCAGGGGACGGCGTCGACAATTGTCGGCCGTTCTTGCCCCGGGGCTTCGTGACGCGACGCTCCGCGGACCCCCGACGGCGGGAGAGAGGCGGCAGCGCCAGCCGCGCCGGTCGCGCAGGTTCCCCCCCACCCTCCCGCGCCCGGTAGCACCAGTCGCTGGGTTTGGAGCACAGCGCGCTAACCACTGAGACAAAGATCCTCCGTATAGCCTTAACAGATTGTTGGGGCAAGTGCTGTTAGCGAGCACCTATGAAGGCCAGAACGGCACACGAGGGGGTGGGTGGCTAGCACTACACCCGACCCCCTTTGTCTCCCCAGTGGCGATGTTTACACACCGCACTAGGTACTCATTTGAGGCCGAGTCTACCTAGGAGAGGCCCAGGATAGGTTCGAATAATTGTCACTGGTGTTGGCCGTGGCCGGGAATTGAACTCGGGTCGCTGGGTTCATAGCGCTGCGCGCTAACCAAGACACTACCGCTCCCCAAATTAAGACATGTACACACACACACACAGCAACAACACTTGCATGCGTCGTGTTGAGACCACCACACTACCACACTTGAGCGCACCCCTCGAAAATGTCAGGTGACCGGAATCCCAGGTTCGTCATCGCGATCTCAGCGGCGATGGCTCAATAACCTAGCGCGGCCATTGCGAGTTCTCTGAATCACCCGCTGACTCCCGCAAGCTTTTGCAGGCCTCACGGGGTGCCTCGGGCACCCTTGAATTGGGGGACGCGCCTCTCACCACCATGCTCTCACCTCCGCAGAGCTGCTGGAACTGCGGCCGCAAGGCGAGCGAGACGTGCAGCGGATGCAACACGGCGCGGTACTGCGGCTCCTTCTGCCAGCACAAGGACTGGGAGCGGCACCACCACGTGTGCGGCCAGGGACTCCACCAGGGCACGACCGGCGGGCGGCGGTGGCGGTGGAGGAGGAGGAGCGCCGACCGGAGTTGGCGGAGTGCCGGGGATCGGCGGCGGCGGAGGCGGAGGTATCGGCGGCGGTTCCATAGTCGAATCTTCGGCGGTCGCCACGTCGACGGCGGCGGTTGGTGGAGGGGGGGCCGCGGCCGGATCCGGGTCGTCATCCGGCGCCGGCAGCCCCCCAAACAACGGAGCGTCGACGTCGCGGTCCGGCTCTCCCCTGGAGCCGTCGGCGACCGAGGTGGCCTCGCGCTAGCGCCGTGGAGAGCTGCGCCGAAGCTCGGGACTTCTTTGGCGCGACCGGAGGTTGCAGAGGCGCGGTCCCTCTTGTTGTCGCGTTGACGCAGCGTCTTTCTGGTTAAGGCATCGATCGGGACACCGTTGCTGCGTTTCCGTGAGGATGTGAGATTCACTGCTGCGCAAGCTGCGAAAGCTTGAGTCGGTTTCAGACGGCGCTCTGCAAAACGCATCGGGGGTTGCGTTTTATTGAGAGCACTTTGCCAGATCGGTGCTCAAAGTGAAAAAAAAGTGTTCTATTCAGGATTATGAAAGAAAGCACCGGGTCATATTCTCTTTGAACAATCGCGAGGCTGCAATCACCAGGCTGCAGATGAAGCCCGGATTCAAACACGAGGCCGCTTCCAGACCTTGACACGTGACTCACAGGCCTGAGAAAGGAAGCGGCACGTAGCGGAGGAAAACGGTTTTGAACACGAACGAAGCTCTGCGTCCCCAGACCTCCGCTAACGATAGTCTGGCGATGGAGCCGAAACTGGTGGCTGACTCTTGACAACACAACGGATGCGTTCAAATCTCTTAAGGAACGTCATCCTCCTCCTTGCTCTTCCTCCTGCTCCTCCTCCTGCCCGTCGTTGTCGTCGTCGTCGTCGTCTTGCTGTGTTGATCTGTGTTGCTGTGTGGACGTCACTGGGAGAAGGTTGGGCCACCTTTCCAGAGATTCCAAGCATGGTATGACCTCATTTTCCAAACTAGTGAAACTACCTTAAAGTAACGTTTTTTTTTGGATGTACGGATCGCTTTGCGGTGGCTCGGAGAGCAACCTTTTCGTGGCTCGATAAACGTTTCTATCGTTCGAGACAATAAAACACCCTCCTCGTGGAGAATGCCTCATGTAAAATCACCTCTCTGTACATTTTTTTGCGATTGCAAAAAGAAGACAAACTACGACGACAATAACAGCAACAGCGACGACGACGTCACTGCCGCGGACGTTCAAAAGGTTACTTGTCGTTGGGAAAAGGGAAACGCAGCGAAACAATTTTGACTGCCGCGTGGAAACGTGGCGGGGAGGGAAATGGGGGTTTATTGTGTGCCATCATCGTCAACAATCTGTGTGCTCTCACAGCCATGCAGGGAACATCCAAATGATAACAACGGAACAAAAAAAAACACAAAGCAAAATGTTAATACCGATGACCTCTTGATGACACCATAAAATGAATAAAAAATGCAAGAGCTTTTCTTACCAATAACCAAAACATGCATCGTTTAAAACATTACAGTCATAAAAAGAAAATCAGGTTTCTAAAACAAATACAGTACACAACATGCGCATTCGACGAGTTGGGATTCGGAAGTTGAAATGTAAATCTACGGACACGAAGTGAACTCTCTCTCTGCGCTGCGCGTCCGTGTCTCTGGTCTCGACGCATCGCGACTCCGGGGTCGGGGTGACTTCCGGGAGCCTCCGCGAAGCGAGCGTGCGGCTGCATTCCAATGCAATGCCAAAAAAAAACCTACAAAATAATCTATCAACGATGGTAGCACCCAACGGCAGCAGCATCGGTGCGAGCGGCTCGACTGCAAACGACTTCGTTGGCCGCATCTCTCCTGGCGACGCGCTGTTCTCCGGGAATTGATTCACCTCCTGCACACAATGTTTTTGTAAATACTAGGCACGGATCTGTCTTTTTTTCCCCACGGAATGTTTTTTTTCGCACAGTGGAGTACGATGAAAGCGTTCTGCTTGATTTTTTTTTTAAATATATGTTTATTTCAAAATTTAGTGTCTAGTGTTTTTTTTTTCTTCAGTTATTTTGTACCCAGTGATATACAATTGCAACCTGGAATGTTCTGTTTCTAATCTGAAGTCGTTTCAAAAAAATGGCAACAACAGTTTAGTTTTAGTTTCAGGCGGCAATTCTGTGACATGATGCGATGTTTCACTGCTCGCTGACGACACTGGAGATGCGATTGGAATACAAGTTAAGATGAAAAGACGCAAGTTGCAGGCCACTGCTCCGACAATACGAGAACGTTTAACCATCGTTTTCTGAGTCACCCAGTTTGTATGCTCATTTTCTAATTAACTTTTTTTTTTGCTTTTTTATCCCGAGTATATTCAATTTGTATTGCCAATCATGTCAAGAGATTCTCAGTGAGCAGTGTCCCTCCCTGTCAGGGAACAGTCCCTTCAGGATGACATAACAGGACTCATTCTGAAGTGACTTCATCACACCAGGGGCACACCTTTTATATGCCCCGCGCGAACCGTTTTTGTCACGTACAAATGAAAACGAAAATAAATCCCTGAATATGCCAAATTAAGTGACAGCCGGATTTTACGTCATAGCTTTGAACCAACCTACAGCTATGGTCAATCAAGCCATATGATCATTCTGATGTTAGGAGGCCTTCATCCAGTAGTTATTTGTTTTTATATATGATTTGGATTTAAAGTAAGGATGTCGGCTCAGTGCTTGAGCATTAGCTACCCAGGCCTCTCCTCATTGTACTGATAATTTAGTATCCTGACAATAGGCTGATCACTCAGCCTGCAAGAGACATCCTAAAATGAGTACCATGGAGTTGACTTACTTATTTGCCATTGTAGTGGACTACGATGGGAATTTTCTACGTTGCACTTTTAGTTAAAATTTAATTGGCATATTCTGATAACTGATTCAGTACAAGTTGCAGCATTTTGTTTTTACGGGTGAGCTCACTCATGCAAAAATGACAATCACTAGATTTTGCTAAGATTTTTCTCCCGTGCAACGCAGTCTCCCACGTTCCCTGAGAACATTTTCGTCCGATTCCGGATTCGCATTTCCAGGATTTGAACGATGAAAAAAGCGAACGGGACTTAACGCGCGATTTGGAGCGACTGTAATCATACTTCACTGTGCGAAAGTGATTCTCCGTTTCTCTTACATTTTACCTTCACGTCTTTGTGAACTGTTCCAGAGACTGTAAGGCCCTCACGTGTTGCGAATGAAACCTGCTGGAACACAACATCACGAAGGCTTTTTTTTTTGCTCAGGTTTTAAGTGGTTGACCCTCTACTCGCGAATGCATTCTGTTCATCCGGTTGGAAGTGACACGAAGCCCCCTTAAACAAAATAAGAAGCATAAAATGCAATCACCTCAAGTCTCGACGTCTACAGCCGACATCATCCCAAATAGAAAAAGTTGTGTTCATCCACACTATATATATTTACTAAAGACATGCACGCGCGCGTGTGCGTATATACCGTACGTTTATATTGTAAGGCCTATGCCACATGTCGCACTTGAAACCCGTTTGAAGGTTGTGACACTCATTGCTTCTGTGCCACGACAACGCGGGGCCCGTGGCACTTGCGGAGAAGTGAAATCACAGGCGAAGGGTGTTTTGTGCCCCCTTGTCCGTGTCATCACGGATAACAGGAACAACCTATTACAGGTTCTCCCCCTTTATATATATATAAAATGTACAATAACCCTTTGCCGATCCACTGCTGGATAAATGCCTCCCTCATGTGTCAGTCCTAGGGGGAGGTTGTTTGACCATACTTCACCATGCTGGTCATCGCAGGTTGGTGCGGTGAGGAGGCCCCATGTCCGGTTCTGATTTCACTCAACACGGATATTAGCCACGGCCTGGAATCGAACTCGGGTTGACAACCTGAATCTCATTTTTTCAGGTAAAAATGTTAATGGCGGGGTGAGTATTGTGCTTGCACCCCATCCGCCCGTGGCCTTCCCGTTATCCGTAGCTTTGCAGATAACCAATCGTTGGCTGTACCCTGCGGATAATGGGAGTTGTGGATAAGAAGATGCCACACAAGATGAGTGTCATTGTATCGTGTGTATGGGCATGTGGTATAGGATCATACAGTATATGAAGTGTTGAGTATATACACACACACAAGTCGTGCATTGTAATTCAAAGAAATAGAACTACGTCCACATGAAGAACTGAAAAAAAAACTTTACAAGAGCCAGGGCCACGCTACCTGTGATGTGGGTGAACCCTGTGGATTTTACACAAAAATGGAATGCCGGTGGGAAGATAGCTTTGGAACATCATTCCTTCCCATCCGAACTATAACGATGTTCGTTTTCATTCTGCAAGGACAACGCTGAGCAATCGTCGACGAAAGAGACCCAGTTAATTTATAACGGAGAAGGCACAACTGGGTTCCAAGACTCTTCCTGTTGGCGGGAGGGGATTAGGGGATTCATTCCGTCGGCAATGAAGCATCGAAATCGCAGGTCACGGGGGGAGCGAATGGGGTTTGCGATGATCTTTGCGACGACCTCTGAACACACGTTGGACTTTGCGGGGCTCGTTTTAATTTCATACCAAATAAAGGCGTGCCAATTATTCGGCGGAGTGGGTTTAAAAGTTACAACAACAACAACAAAAATGTGAAAAATGTTAACATGCGATGTTAGCACGAAATAAGCTGAACGTTGTTGCTGAAGTCATCCCGTGGTCGCCGCCGCTGCGATGTCCGACTCGACACGTCAAACACTTCAGCCGTCGGGCTGCAGTTACGTGTCTTCTCCAAGGATTGAAGATCTAAATATATATATAAATATACAACATAACCTCAAATTCTTGTCGATAACGGTTAACAGGTACATGGTTGTCGTCTGTGTTTGCTGTCGTTTTTTTCACATCTCTCATCTTTTCCAATCATTTGTGTGAACTATATTAATGGCACTCCTCATATAACCCCATCTCCACCACCCCCCCCCCCGACTACCCCTATCATTAAATGGTTGGTTCCAAGCCTCAAGTGCTGGCTTTAACACTTTGGAATCTGCCACTCACGAATCAGGGGGGGGCGGGGAGGTGAGTGAGAGGGTTTGGGCAATTATTCAGGGAGGGAACTCGTAAAATAAAAAAAATAAAAGATGTTGGAAGAGTCAGTCGCTGAACGGTGAAGACAATACTTTCCTCAAAAGGCTGCACGATCGATGGACAGGCGCTTTTTGATATTCGGTGTTCATGTACCCCTATTGGTTTTGTTTCTGTGAAGCATCGTGGTTCGTGTCCTATCGTGCTCGCTTCGCACAACCAATGTCTCGAGTGAATGATGGCGCCGTCACTTTCCACCCCGTCCCCCTTGACATCCTTACGAAACGCAAAGTATTATTCATTATTTGGCACGCCAAACGTTTGCCCCCCCCCCCCCTCTGTTCCGCTGAGCAGCAGTTGCCCAGTGAACGTGCCAACAACGTTGGGCACAACGTTTCTACGTTCTAACTGCGCGGGGGTGGCGGACGATTCGTTACAAAAAAAATATTTGTTTGCAACTTTTTACTTTTTTCAACACGGCAACAAATATCGAGATGGTTTGTGTCGCTGTAAAACCTCGCAAATATATATACACGCGCACACACACACACGAGTCACAAAGTTGTGTATAATGATAAAATAATATTTAAAAAATTCACCATCTCAAAGTCACGTCCTTACGAATGTGATTGGGGGAATCAATTTGCATTCGGCCACCGTACAGCGCTCGAGTTGATCTCGACAGGATCGTGAAACCAAAAACACGAAGCGCTCACGTTGGTCTATCGGCGCACCTCCTCGCCCCTTCTCAATGTCGTCGCATGCACGAATTTGATGGGTCGTTCATGGGGGAGTACAACAAAAATACTTTAAAGTCACGGCTATAGCGCCCTCTATTGGCTAGGCCGCTCGGGGTTACCCCCACCTCATGGTGGGGGGGAGGAATTTGAAAACCCATACGGCGGAACACGGTAGCTGGTCGGCAGGATTTCGAGAGGTTGAACGGGTGCAACACACGTGGACAAAACAAAATTTGACCCAGCATACATGGACAAAAATTTACCCAACCCACATGGACAAAAACAATTTGACCCAACCCACATGGACAAAAATTGACCCAACATACATGGACAAAAATGTACCCAACATACATGGACAAAAATTGACCCAACATACATGGACAAAAATGTACGCAACCCACATGGACCAAAATTTTTACAAACGCACTTGGGGGAATACAAAAAATTGGCAGTCTAACGGTGAAGGTTATTGACAGACGCAGATTTCGAATGCCACGTTTACCGTAGATCCACGTTTTTTATTAATACAATGGCACCTGACGACGGTCTAAATTCGCAATTATTTCAATCGCAGCAGCCAGCTGCCCTCACGTACACAAGCCGGCTTTAATCCAGGTCAAATAGACACAATCTGCCGTTGCTGAACCCACAAACCATCTTGGTATTTGTTTCCAAACTTGATATACAGGCTTCGATAAGTGCGGGGGACCTCGCTTCAGCACACAACTCGCGGACGATATCTGAAACTGAATTGTTGCATGCCTGCACATGTCCCTGTTAATTATCTTCAAACCGACAGTGTAAGGTATAAGAAAGACGTGTTAGATGATCTAAGTAATATCGTCAGCTCGCAACGTATGGGTTACATTTGCATGTGGGAAGGCGCCCCGCTGCTGCGTGCCAGTGATGTTGTGGATTTGTTGATGATCGGAAGGCGACTTTGGCAGTAGCCAGGAGCAGGCAGATGGCTTTTTTTCAGGATCTGTGGCTCGACGGTCCGTGCCACGAGTGGTGCAGCCGTCACGCGTGCTTCGCACGATGCAAATGCCGCCCAACCGTTTCGCAGCATCCATCCCGAACGTTCGAGTTAATTTCTCCAGCCCGTCATCAAAATGCACAGTCCTGTGGCATATTTCCTCATTTAATCTTTCGCCGACTACTAATTGTTCCGTGTTGTAGACCTGTGCTGGAATTTTTGTTTTATTGGATTTTAACCGTGGCGCTTCGGTGCCCTCTCTCCGTGACTCGGCCTCGTGACGGGTCTGCATTCAGGAGCACAGCCGGGTAGTCGCGTCCTCAGTGGATTCTGGCAACAACAAAAAACCCAGCACCACGTGCATAAAGCACTTAATCACACATACACACTCGTAACAAGCACGGCGATACTGAACAGGAAGTGGTGTGCTCAGCGCCACTCATACACTACCACCTTTGTCTCCCCAGAGCTGATGTTGACAGTGGCCAGCACTTGTATCGGGCTGAGTCAACCCAAGGGAGAGCCAGGTCTGGGTCGTCGAGGTTCTCATTGCTGCTGGTGTTACGTACGGTCTTGAAGGGTAGCAAAAGTGAGAGACGCTCTTTCACGTTGAGCCACACAGCCAGTCGTGGCCAAGTGCTGTTAGCGTGCAGCTATTGAGACTGAACTGGTGCCCTGTGGGGTGGAGTGGCCAGCGCAGTGCATGCCCAGCCACCTTTGTCTCCTCGAGTGCCGACGAAGATGATGTCACCACACTTGGCACTCACTTTACGGCTGTCAACCTACAGCAGACAGACACACACACACTTGCGCACGCTTTCCGTCTTGCTTGCTGCCCATAGTCGCGTGGCATGCTGTGAAGCGGTGGTTATGCTTTGTTTTGTCATAGACGTAGCACTCGCCTTTCATCTCGTTCTATACACTACATCCACCCACGCACACCGCAACACTTGCTATGTGCATAGCTGTAAAAGCTGCAAACAAAAAAAGTCAACAATTAGTCGAGTATTCGTGGATTGATTTTCTAGTGGAAATTTTGAACTTAAAATTCTACGACTTGGACGCGCCGTTGTATGCACGTTTAACTTCTTTCGCACCGTACGTAACCAACCGTGCTAATCGGAGGTTGTAACACGTGGACAGTGCGACTCGGATGCGTGCCACGCCCCAGTGCAGGAGGCTGCCGCACTTCATGCCTCGATGGAACGCGCAACTGTCACGCATCTCCCTGTCCACACGGGCACGGCAGTGACAACCCATCTCGATTGGCTGCCCTGGGCTAGCGGCATTAAAGTCCACATGCCCACGGCTTGGGACCAGTGCCTCCGTATGACGGACCCGCCCATGTGAAATATATTTGCGATGCTAACTCAATTGGATAAGCAGCAATTCTCCCAAACGGCAAGGGACGTGAGTTCGAATTTTGCTCAGGTTTGATTTTGGCATCATGATTATCATCATCGCTAGTACCATCAGTATCATCTCCAGGTTGGGTAAAATAAGCAGCACCCCCGTTAACTAGCGAGATACAGATGATCATGATGTTGTTGTTGGCTAATCAACGATACATGGGGCCCTGCCGTGGGCAGCAGATATGATTGCCACCGCTGCTAGAGGATGGACCCAATGATGGAAGTTGTGCACTGATGAATATCTGTTTGAGCTTGGGGATGGGCCAAGGTTACACGGTCATTAGCGGAAACATGTTCAATCTGCGCTGAATTATGATGCGGTTTAACCTGAGCTCTTGGCTGAACGGTTCATAGGGTTTTAGTGGTCTTTGTACGGTACAAATATGAGTAATAATTAAGGAACGCTATTGTAACTTCGTGGCAATGCACACAGCAACTTTGGCGTTTATAAAACTTCTAACAACTTATATTTAGTTTTACTTCCAAATCCCATCATCATCGATTGCATATGCATTCTTGAGTGTATAATAATAATCACATTGCAGCGTCACCTTTTTTGAAATGTCCTTTTTCAGCATCATAAGTGAACCATTGTGTACTCGAGTAGATACTTCAAATCTCTCTGTGCGTGAATGCATTATGCATAATATCTGGCAATGTTATTTTCTGAGCAAAAAAAATTACCGCCCCCCCCATCTACCCCTCCCCCGCGCCCAGAAAGCTGTACGTGTTGTGATGAAATAACGCGATAGACGGATGACGCAGCTTCATTGCGGTGGCTATGTTGCATGTTAAAGTGTGTACATACTCTTATGCAGGGTAACTCCCTTTTCTTTACCTAATGATGACATCGTTTTCGTTCCTTTGAATTGTCAGCTAAGCAGATGTTAAACATTACCGTCTACCTCCTAAACAGGACATTTCGCTCTTTGCCAGAGGAAGCTTATTTTAACCAAAATCGCTAGGAAGCTAACTCATGATATGATAATAACAAAATGTTAACAATAATAAATAATAACAATAACAATTAACCAAAACTATTCGTTTAGCTACAAACCTTTTTTTGACCTGTGTGTAGCAGGCAAAAACGTAAGTCTAACAAACCTCAACTTTTTTTTTAATGCAGTACTCAAAGGAGAGTAAAAAACACAAAGTACAAAACCCCCTCTGTTTTGTTATCTGTGATTCCCTTAAACCTCGCCCCTTATAGCGCTCGTTTACGAAGACACTTATTTGCAATTGTTGTACCTCTGTCGTTAAAGGCGCGTCGGAATGAAGGGGTCTTTTAAGCTGCATGCGGTTTCACCTTAAGCGTGAACTCACAATTTATAAAAGTACAAGAAATCTGAATTCGATAACGGGTAGCGCTGGGTGCGGAGAAGGAAAACAGTGCCCGTTTCTTTTGTTGTTTTTAAACCCGCTTTCGTTTTAAAAACAAAAGGCAAAAAAATCTTACCCAAAATGTCATGGCTCCGTGTCAAAATAAAAGCGCAGTGCATAATGTTGCACCCAACAATGTATGCAGGGGGGTGGCTTTTATTTTGATAAGTGTGTAGTCTTGGTGAGTTTTATTGAAATAAAATACCATACATTAATGATGATGATAATAATAATACAGTCTTGCTGGGATGTTTAATATTACATGTTGTGGAGAAAAGTAAAAAAAAATGGAAAAATGTGAAAAACTAAAAATATAAAAATGCATGTTACATGTTATGATAGTTAATGGATGCCAAAAATAAAGACTGCTTTAAACTTGGCATTATCAGTGTACCCTGGTGTAGTATTCCGTTGATATTTTCTGACAGTGCTCTCTCTTCACATGCTTATGTTGAAAATTGTGTCAACAATTTACGTGTGGATAGTGTATTTAAAAACGTAGCAAAAAATGCTTCTTTAAACACAAAGTGTCAGGAGAATTGGTTTTGCTGGTTTTGTATATTATTCCTTTGAGTCTCTTGTTCATTTTATTCGTGCTTTTATAAGCCAGAGCTGAATTTGGAACATTTCAGCACTGGTTTTAAATGCTAGATTGTATGTGCCGGTTACAAACATTGAGCTATCTCGTTTGATAAAACGTGGCTTAAGGCCACAATACACACACACTCACGAGATCTGGGTTCAACCCAAGATATTTAAAGACATTGTGCAATAACCTTATTTTACAAACCCTAAAAAATAATAGTAATAAAAAGCCACCCTAGGTTATTAAAGATGCATAACATGTGTTTGTTGTTGTTGCAGATTTGCAAAAAAAAGGGTTCATTTGTTTTGATTTTGGCCTAGCCGGTAAACACGTGTTGATAAATGGGTTTCTGGTTGTGCTTGAAATGAAAAGAAAAAAAAAATATTACGGTATTTTACGTGCGGCTTTAAAATTGATGTGTGCTTGAAGCTTCATTCTTCCCTGGTTAGATGTGTTTAGGTGAAATGCAAGTTGGATCTATTGACATGTACGTTTTGCTTTGTGTCATTTTGAGCTGTATTATACGTGGACTTGTGTGCCGTATTTCACCCTCTATATATGAATCAGGTATTGCTTGTATATTCATAAATGTGTTATAAAGCTTATTCATGATTCATCTAACACGACTGTGCCTCGTGCTTGTTGTTGTTGTTCAAGCGGTACCCCGAGAAGTTTCGCTCGCAATCGTTTTTGGTCTTCTGCCCCTTTGTGATTTGCCATCAAAGGTCGATATCCCAAATAACTATTCACTATTTTTTAGTTTACCAGGTAAGGCCCACTGAGTGATATAGCTCTTTTTCAGAAGCAACCAGGCCACAAGTAAGAGCCCAAATGAAGTGGCTTATCATGTGGACATTTATAGCAGCAAAATACTCTAAAAAAATCCACACGACCACGGGGCGAACACGCAAACCCCAAATATAGAGCAGCAGGCATCAAGGTCGGGATCGTACCCACGACCTCCTGTGTACCAGGCCAGGAGTTAACACCTCGCCACCGCAGCACCCAACTCAGTCACTTGAGGAGGTGGGCAGTAATGCGTCTCACTATAGCCTCTCGCTACCAAATGTGTGTACAGGCACCTTCTCATGATGCCCTCCCTCCTGTTCATTGCCTAGTCTGTACATGTGACCGAACCTCCGGCGGTATCGCTGGTCAGGGAGTAGATGCTGGCCCCCTCGCTGCAGTGTGCTGGGCCCGCCGGCGATGTGAATATATCCCGACGTTCAGCAACAACTCCCTCTGCTCTGATGCTAAAGGAATCAGCTGGGTAGCCGGCTCAAGGCAACGTGGCATCAAAGTATCCCAGCTACCTACCCTGGCCTCCCGGCAAGAGACCAGGGGAACACAACTGCCAAGGATTCCCCATGAGTAACGCGACCAAGTGCGTCTTTGTACCGCTCGCCGGGCGGGTTCACAAAGAACGCGCAGCCTGCGTTTTCACCAGTCAGCGGTGACAAGTGTGCTACGGTGGTCATCACCGAAAGCCTCAAACTACGCAAACCATCTCGCATCTGGAACACGAGGACCCTCTGCAAACCAGGTGCCATTGACACGTTAAATCACTTGAGAAGGCAAGAATCAGTAGCATTGGCCTCCAGGAGGTGCCTTGGTGTGGTGCTGGTTCAACCACTGCAGGAAACGACACCATCCTGTGGTCGGGGTCTCCTGATGGCTCCCCTCGGCTTGCTGAGGTGGATATTGCCCTTGATCGGACAGCCAAGTCAGCCCGATTAGAATGGAACCATGTGAACAGGCAACTGATGGCTAGATTTAGGCACACCCTAGACGGTGGCATATGCAACCAACGAACGAAACACCCGACAAGATCAAAGACCACTTCTACTAGTCTCTAGAACAGTCCCTAAGGGGCCGTCCATAAATGACGTGACGCGATTTTGGACGATTTTTGATGCCCCCCCCCCCCATCGTCACACGGCGTCACAAAAAGTCAGACCCCCCCTCAAATATGACGTCACAAAGCTCTGCCCCCCCCCCCAATATATATAAAACATGCTTCAAATCGCTTTAAACTATTGTCATTGTAGTGCGTATTTAATGTGGCGCTGCACTCTGATGTTGTAGGAGAAAACATTTATTAAAAAGTCTATTTAATTAAGTAGAACGTGCTGTCTATATTCATTTAAAGTTGCGCATTTTGATGCGACGTCACATTTCTGAACCCCCCCCCCCTCGTCACACATCGTCACAAATGTCTGACCCCCCCCCCCAGGTGCGTGACGTCATTTATGGACGGCTTCTAAATCTCACGAAACTTCTTCTTCCTAGCGTTGTTCCCGCTGTGGCGCAGGGTCCGCTTTTCGGCATTGTCTTCTCCATTTGGCTCGGTCCAGGGCATCTTCAGGGGATGCGTTGACCGTCTTCATGTCTTCCTTTATTCGGTCCATCCATCGCTTCTTCGGACGTCCGCGTGGACGGCGGCCCTCTGGCTCAATACGCACGGCAGTCTTGGCCACTGATGACTCTTCACTTCGCATCACATGGCCGTACCACCGAAGCCTTGCCTCAAGCATCTTGTCCGCAATGGGGGCTACACCAAGTCGCTTCCGAACGTCTTCGTTCATGACACGATCCCATCGAGTGAGCCCGAGGCTCCATCTGAGCATCCTCATCTCCATGGTGTGGAGAGCTTGTTCGTGTACAGTTGTGGCTGGCCAGCACTCGGATCCATAGAGTGCCACCGGCCGGACGATGGTCTTGTATATTTTTCCCTTCAGCCTATCCGGCATTTTCCGATCACAGAGGACTCCGGTGACTTGCCTCCATTTCATCCACGCCGCATTGACTCGTGACCTCACATCAGTCGTGATGCTACCATCTGAGCTGATGGTCTCACGAAACGACGGGACCTTATTATGTGCCTCGGAGATGTCAATGCAGTCTCTGGCACTTCCAGAGAAGGCCTCCGAACTGTGGTGGCCACGTGGCAGCGACACCCCCAACAATTACGCAAGAAATGGGCTCAGAATTGGTGGCTCCTGGTTCCAGCGCCGTGACATTCACAGACTTACCTTGTTTTTAAACGACGGCCATACACATAAATTGACCATATACTCATTAACTCCAGATGGAAAGCACTGCAAAATTGCAGAGTTTACCAGAGCTTGGAGTTCGACACAGATCATCACCCAGTTATTACAACTATCGGTATTAGACTCAAATGATTCCCTAGCAAGAAATCGCGACCGTCTCCCCGATATAACATCCAAAAACTCTCAGACCCAGCACACTGAGGGGGCGTGGCCTCACTGAGGGGGCGTGTCCTCACGGAGGAGGGCGTGTTAGACACGCCCCCCTCAGTGAGGCAGATGTGATAGCTGCCTCCCCTGGTGCTTTTTCATTGCAGTTTCATGACGAGACCAGCGAGCCAAAATATCTTTATACACATACGTGAAATAAGTTACATGGAGTATGGAAGGCGAGGACATGAAATGGAAGGGGTCTACAAACATCACATTGGTGACATACTGAGATAGTAACAGGCACGCGCTTATTGCCCGCGCTCCATCCAGTTACTGAGGGGTTGCGCAATCAGAGGGGAGGCTGAGCTCGTCGCTGCCTCACCTCTCGTCTCTCCCTGTATTTGCAGCGGAGCTCCGCAAATTTGGCGATTTTGACTATAAAAATGATTAGAATCGTACAGAAATGACATTTATAACACAGATCATTGGAAAAATCTTAATATTTATTTTATTTGATTATTCTTTTTTTTCTACTTTTCGTAACAGCTATTTTAATTGGAGTATGACAGGTGAAGCTCTGCCTCTCCTGCCTCCCCTGACCGCACGTCCCTGTTTCAGGCGTACGGCTCACCGTCTACTCGCTCCAATGAGTGTGGGAGGGGGGGGCACTGATCTCCTCCGAGCCAATAGTGGCAATCTCCACATTGCTCGTCTGTCAACAGCAGCGTCGTTATTGGCTTCCTCTTGCAGAGCGGTCGCTCATCATAACAACTCCAGAGCGATGATTTGTATTTCAATTATTATCGAGTGGATGCTGTTCCACGTGACTGCACCGTGAGAGCAACAGATACACGAGACATGTCCTGAGTGGGCGACATCATCACAGCCAGCATGGGTATTCGAGAAGTGGTTGGTTGATATCCCTGTGGGTCGGTCTGGACGAGAGCAATCTCACACCGACAGCAGGTTTTTATGATTTTGATGAAGAGTTCACTCACCCAAACTCCCAAACAATTTACAGAAATCCTCACCGATCAAATAACATGCCCGCAGTACTCCACTTGAATGGAACTCGGGCGAGACAGCAACACTCTTCGTGCAGGAGGAGGTGTCTCACACAGGCTTCCGTGGTGTAGGTTTTGCATCACCATAGCACATCCACAGAGGATACTTTTATGGTAACAAGGTTTTATCTTTTCCTCACCACAACCACCTCTGCTTTTTGTGTTTTAGTGGCCCCCCGCCCCCCAAACCTCCGATCAGCACGGTTGGCTAAGTATGGTGCATAAGAAGTCCAACGTACACACACACCTCATCAGTTGCACACACACACCGAGGTGCACATCGAGATGAGACTTCACGTCACGTGGGCACCGCCTCGCACTCGCTCCCGTCGGTTGCTCCACCCCACGCGGAGTCGACCTGCGGGTGGACTCCATCCTGGAGGCTCTCTCTGGGCGACTCTCTCTGGGCGACTCCATCAGGGCGACTCCATCAGGGCGACTCCATCAGGGCGACTCCATCAGGGCGACTCCATCAGGGCGACTCCATCAGGGCGACTCCATCAGGGCGACTCCATCAGGGCGACTCTCTCAGGGCGACTCCATCAGGGCGACTCCATCAGGGCGACTCCATCAGGGCGACTCTATCTGGGCGACTCTCTCAGGGCGACTCTATCTGGGCGACTCCATCTGGGCGACGCTCTCAGGGCGACTCCATCAGGGCGACTCTCTCTGAGCGACTCTATCCAGTGAACGTGGGCTCACCGTCGACAGTGCCCAGGTGATGGCTCCCGTGGCGGAATGATTGTCACGCTGATCGTGCAATCCGGAGGTCACGGGTTTGATTCGACCTCTCGACAAGAGCAGTTAAAATGGGCGAGTTTCTTCAAATCGACCCCACCGATATCCACCCAGCAGTATATAGACTACGATGAACATTTTTGTTATTTTACCAGGTAAGGCCAACTGAGCTGTATCACTCTTTTTCAGCAGCAACCTGGCCACAAATGACAGCTCAACGAAGTGGCTTATCACATGGACATATTTCCAAATTTGGAGGGAACTCAAAATACACAGCGGGCGTGAGGGTCAGGATCGAACCCACGACCTCCTGTACACCAGGCGAGGTCGTTAACGTCTCGCCACTGTGGCACCCCAAATGGGTGCGCCAGTCGACGAGCATGTGGTGAGTCAAAGTGTGGGCACTCCCAAGTCTTGCAAGATGTATGAACAACTCGCTTTACTACCCGGCTTCGCCCGAGACTTGGATTCTTGTTTTGGGTTCATTCACGGCCGACGCGGAGGGTTGGGTGACGTCAGCAGGCACACTGCGTGACGCTGCTGCATGCGGGTGACATCACAGATGTGACGTCACCACTCACTTGTCGGGAAGTACACTAAACATTTTGAACACACA